TGCGGCTGGGGCTGCCCCCTTGCTCCCAGAGGCCTGAGTGATGGGCTGCCCCTGTCCTGCCCAGGCAGGGTCTGGAGCTGTGGCCTGGAGCGGGGTGGGGAGGGAGGTGAGCTGGGTCTGGCCTCCACGCCCCTCCCCAGTTGAAGCTGGGGCCTGGCTCATGGTCCCCCCACTGCCCCCCAGGAGCCATCAGGCCCAGGCCTGGGCCCCAAGGCATCTACACCGTAGGCTCCTTCTCTGGACTGGGGAGGTGTCACCTGCACCCCTGGGTTTTAGCCAGGTCCAGCCCCCGCTCCCCATGCACGTTCCATGGTGGCGGGGGAGGGCACCAAGGGTAGGGGAGGAAATGTGATGTCATCAGCAGCAAGGGACACACAGCTGCCTCTCCCTGGAGCAAAGCAGCTAGAACGAAGAGAACAGACCCTGGGACCCCCCCACCAACCCTGGGACCCCCCCCTGCCCAGACACCCTGCTGCCCTGGGGGGGCCCCCACCCCCTACAGCAGCTTCAAACCCATCTTGGCCAGGAAATGAGAGCGCATCTCCTGGAAGCCCCCGCCCACAGCTCCCAGCATGACGGGGCAGGGAGGGCTGGGCTGCCCCTGGGTGCAGGGGAGGCTTCAAGGACACAGGGAAGGAGCATGGGGGGGCAGCTGGGCCCAGGCTTCCATCAGTGCCCCTCACTCCCAACCCGCAGCTCCGTGCCCCACCGATCCCCCTCACTCCCGAGCCGCAGCCCCTGTAGGTCCCGCTCCCTGCAGTGGAGGTTGCGAAGGGGACAGGGCTAGGGCCCAGTAAAGGGTAGCCCCAGAGAAGCAGCTGGGGGTGGGGGGAAAATGCACCAAGGGTCCATGCCCAGCCCCCAGAGGGTCTCTGCCCCCCAGCTGGGGCTGCTGGGGTGTGTGGCACCTGGGCACAGTCCTAGGGGTGATGGTGCCCAGAGAAAAGCCCCGTTCTTGGGAGTGGGGGAGGCAGCACCAGCTCTCCTGGCCTCAGGGGGGCCAAGGGGTGTCCGTCCACATGGTCCAGGACAACAGGGTCCGAGGCCAAGGGGAGCGGGAATGGGGGCACAGGCCCCTCTGTGGCCTTCTGTGTGTGCTCGCACACGTGTATGGCCTGCCAGCAGCCCCCACAGGCATGCACTTCTTCAGCTGGGTCCCCCGCCCTCCACTCCCCAGGCTGTCTGGGTCCTGTCCAACCCCGGGTAGGGGTGTCGGGGGGCTGCAATCCCAGGATGCTTTGCTCCTCTGCCTCCCCATGCCCCAGGCCTGGCAGGAGCCGGGGCTAGGGCCTGGTTTGTCTCCACCCGAGCCCAGCCCAGGCATCTCCCCAGGCCAAGGGCAGTTTCCCACCCTACCCCACCCCCATCCCCACCCCACACTGGGGCCCGTAGGCTGGGTGTGGGGCCAGCTCCTGTGAGGGGAGTTTTCTCACCTGCAGCCACTGCTGCCTTGGGTGGGGGCCGGATGCCTGCCGAGCTCCACCCTGGGCAGGCGGGCATCACAGGGCTGTGGTGGTGGTGGTGGGGGGGGTGCTGACCCCTGGGGTCATGCAAGGACACCAGGGCTCTGCAGGGGGTGGGGGTGCAGGCCCGAGGGGCTACTGGCTTCTCACCAGCTCCCACCCCCCAGCTCTCACCTGCTGCAGCTCTGCCTTTCGAGGCCCTGGGAGAGGTGAGATCCCTGCAGAGCCTCCCCTGGAGATCAGCCTGAGTGGGGGACCCGGCCCCATAGACCCTCTACCCTGGGAGACCCGCAGCTCCCTGGCTGGAGCTGGGGTGGCAGAGACATGGCCACCCCAGCTCCAGCCCGGTTGAGTCCATGGCACCCAGCCCTGCTGGTGCCCCTCTCCTGACCTGCAGCACCCAGACCTGTTGGTGCCCCTCACTCCTAGCCCGCAGGCTGCTGATGCCCCATCAAAGGGCTGTAAAGGAAAAGACCAATTCCCCCCACCCCTTCCAGTCAGTGCCCCCTGGCAGGGAAGGGCTCCTGCCCCAGGGATGGGGGTGTGAGGGGCTTCAGGACTCCCAGTTGAAGCCCCTCTTGCCTCCACCCACTCACCAGGCCAAGGGAGCAGCCTGGGGGCACTCCTAGCCCGCAGGCTGCTGATGCCCCATCAAAGGGCTGTAAAGGAAAAGACCAATTCCCCCCACCCCTTCCAGTCAGTGCCCCCTGGCAGGGAAGGGCTCCTGCCCCAGGGATGGGGGTGTGAGGGGCTTCAGGACTCCCAGTTGAAGCCCCTCTTGCCTCCACCCACTCACCAGGCCAAGGGAGCAGCCTGGGGGTCCCTCACACTGCTCCCTGAAGGGCTCCCTCGTGGCGAGGGCACCCAGGGAGGGGCCCCAGGGAGCTGTGCTCCCCC